TGGACCGGGTTGACAGGAGAATGTGGTCTGTAAAGTGATTTACACCCAAAAGACCTTTCACATTTTTTCTTTTGGGGAGGGGGGAGACGTCTATCCATCATAACTGATTACTCTAGGCCACTAATCTGGAGAAGCTCGCTCTAGAGGAGGGCACCTTTACCCTAAATCCGCCGGATGTTGCGATTTTAAATGCCACTGACTGTGGCGCCCGGATAAACGGTATTGCTATTTCACCTTTTCCAAAAAATGGCCGGTGGTACCAGCTGAAATATTTTATGTTGTTTATTTGCTGCTAGTGGAGTGAGAATTTCGGAGCATGTTCTTCCCGTAAGTGAAGTCAACCTATGCGGAATAGTCGAGGGGCACTGTGGAATTTCCCCATCCACGATAGGGATGACCACTGATCTGCAACTCATAAAGGTCCGTGGGGAACTGAACCCTCACGCAGCTGGTTAGCAGTTGAAGACTAAAGCTTCTTGCTTTGAAAGGCTGTTTATCACTGTAAGTAGCTCAAACATGGTCGGAATGAAACTCGAAAATTTAACCTCATTTGTCTCAGTGGATGAAAACATACTGCGATATCTTGAGGATCATACCAACTGAAAATTTAGGCGGCTTGTGTGTAGCACATTCAGTTGAAGAAAATCACAAACGAGAGATTCGCTCGAGTCTCCCGAGAACACCAAATTAATTTATAGACGAGTGTATTTGAAGCAATCAGTCTAATTTGGGTCCAAATAGAATATAAGTTTGACGGAAAATCGGGGACTGCGCCTACCTGATAAGACCTAAGAAGAGCGAAACCAGTCACGAGTTGTCTAAGAGGTTTCAGCAAAATTCTGAACAGTTTCTTTACGAAGATATCTTGATCCTGCTTATTCTACTGCGCTACTGAGGATAACCCTTCTTTGGAGCACTCTCCTCAAGCAATTTTTTGGGACTTTCGATACTTTCCTGAAGCTGGCAACTGCAGGACGTGACCACCGCCCCCATAGAAACCTTTATTTTGTTCACACACTGATATTACTCGTATCAGATGCTGGAGCAAAGCACATATGTGGGCTTTCACGTCACACACGTCACACACAGCAGAGACTATTAGTTTCACAACGAACCTCACCAGGGTGCTCAAAAGATGCTTTGGATGAAAAGCAGTAATGATCGAAGCTTGTCTACCGACGAAACCATTGCTTGGCTCTTTAGGTGATTGATGCCCATAATAGGAGTCAAATGAATAAAAACAATACTGAGAATACATTAGTTCTGACCAGATGTGAGATGATTCATTTTCAAGAAAGATTATGTTTAGACGATGTTTGATTCAGAAACAATCTCTACGTAGATTAAACGTAAGGTAGACATTTTTTGTTTTACCCGATTGTATTGTGAACTCTGCACTTCTTGATTCTGAGCCATTGCCAGCCCTATTGTGTCCTTGAACGCTGGCCACTAGCGGAACACACGTTGGTACATCCAGGATGTTAGCGTGCTGATTGGTCGTTTCGGACATCGTCACCAAAGATCCGTCTTTTGCGTAGATCCTCACCAGATAACCGTCAATATCGCAGTCTGGATTGTCCCGCCAGCTGACCGAAATACTTGAGGTGTTTGCCACCGTTGTAACGCGAACTGAGCTTGGAGCAACAGGGACTAAAATTAAACGGAAACGGAAACTCGCCGCAATGAAGTGTGCTTCGAAAATGGGCTCCAGTCCACCCTGGGTGTTCATCAAATTCAGGTGTTTACGGTGCTGATATACACTGGACGACAGGAAGTTAACCAGAAAGAAGCAAACTGTATCGCGGGTGGCCAGTGACCGCGCAAAATACGTTCTAATTCATCTCGGCTCGAGTGGCTAGTCCTCACGAGTCCGTGAGAAGTCTGATTAGTAATGGGCAAGTCTGGTTTGGTGTCGTCCAATACAATATAAGTGCAACCAATTACAAATTAGCATCAGTATGTCTCTGACTATAAATCTGCAATCAATGTTCCACACGGTTTCCCATGTTTAGACAATGTCGATGCACTAATCTTTGCTGAAGCTTCAATGTGGTTTCGATTTGTCGTGTAGCTTTTGAAACACATGGGAGTTGGGCAATTTGCAAACGAGTGTGGTGTTGCTTTGAGATAAAAAAGCACTTCTAAGAAGTGAATCATACTTTATTGTTCATAGTCAGCCGGCTGAAAGGAGAAGATTTATTGCCTTGAGGTCCTCCATGTGCACGTCCGACTGCTACATAATGCAGGGCCAAACTAGCTTTCAGCGTTACATTGGAACGAACAAAATAACGCCACATCCGAGCTCAGGGCTGAATTGTTCGGCGAAAGCAAACCAGTGGTTACTTGTCAGTACACTGTATGGCATAATGGGTAAACGAATCCTGAAAATTAATCCCACCACGTCATAGTTGGACCGCTTGGGGCAAGGCGTTACAAGTGCTAATATTGCTCAACCTTATCGATTCTTCAGGGATAGTCATTCCGTAACGTTTTAAAGTGGAAGCCAATTTCAGCCACTCACAAATCATAGAGTATTAATCGCAGTATTAATCTCAGACTTATCTGCGCAGAGGATTATCGTGGGCCACGTGACTTGCGGGTTGTTTCAGACTTCTAAATCACTGTCATTCAAGCCAACGTTCGATTGCTTGATGGACTGCAGACTAGAAAAAATGAGCGTTGGTTGACGCTCTCTCGCGAGGTTGCCAGAACTCAACTTGCAAGCGCTATATGTCTGGAAGTTCTGACCCTCTTAGTTACCGAAAGACCTAGCAACCTAGATATCTGTGCCAGTATCCTCTGCTTTCGCAATTTGCTACAGTGTGCGAATGCATTGATAACAATACCGCTCTGTCTTTTATTTTCCCAATTGTTCAACTCTTCAGTTCACTCGCTTGCAGTATCACCAAAGCGAAGCTTACTGCAATAGTTTCAAGCTACATTAGAAGACCTCTAAAAGAGAAATTTGACGTCGCAGAATGAATGGTGGAGAAGGACACGGAAAACCAAATTCTGATTCAGCAAAATCAGTTCATCTCTTGTTCTTCAAAGTAAAACTACCGAGGAAGATGTAATTACAAATTCGCATATCTCATCATCCATATGAGGAGCGAAATTCCACATTGAGATGTCAGTTCATCTGACCAACACAACTCAAGCATCCAGTGGCCTTACGAAATAAATTGTGGTGTATTCTTTGGGAAACTGAAGATATCCATGAAGAATACAATTCTATTGGACAGAGTTTAAAAACGCATCCAGGTGCCCCTGACTCTTCCATGGTGTCTGCCTTAACGGACCACATAGTGTAACGTAAAAACTGTTATTATTGACTTCTGCGTTCCACGCGAGACCTAATTGACCGTATGATGTGAGTGGGTGAATAGTGGCATAAAAACACCAGTAAAGGGCCCATATCTGTTTAATTCAGGACAGCGATGCTTCATCATACACAACGTGCCATATATGCATAGATTATCTAGTAGCGTTGTGAAGTGTCTGTACACGCTTCAATTTTGTGGTTTTGTGCAATCGACATGCGCCAAACACGACAGTTTAATCCCTTAAATGTTGGTGAGCATGGAATTCCCAACGTTTGCAAACGAACTGAATAGGCCATCGAGTGTTTTGGATTATCTTGCAGGACTTAATCATTTCTGGACTACTTTGTCCTGTCATTTGTAGACCGTTGAATCTGAGCACTGGGAAGCATGGACATGTTCGTGGACATGTTGCTTATCCAATCATAATCTGTATTTGGTGTATCATTGATGAATTCGCTAAATGTAGATTTCAGAGTAAAGTTACGTCCGACACGGAACACAAACTAAATTTCACCAGCGCAACCAATGGCAATGAAATGACAATGCCCGTTCATATGCATACGAAACCGATCAATCAAGGATGCTAGTTTGAATGGCAAGACAACTAGACGTTAAATTATAGGAAACCATTCCTAAAGATAAATAAGTGAAAGAAAATAAATAATAATGATAATATAATAATAAAATAAATAAATAAACAGATAAATTTCTCAATTTTCATCATTTTTGCAGAACATCGACACACGGAATTCATGGGGTCAAACCAGCCGAGATGATTATGGATCAGAGGGGCACTGAAAGTTGACCTGTACGTACAGCATAAACTCTTGTACTGAAAAAGTATGGTCGCATTGGGTAAGTTGTTTCAAATGTCTTACAGTCAATTATATTTAGACCAAGAACGAGACCATGCCATTAAGGGATGCATGTGAGAAAGTTTTTGAATAGACATGGAGGGAACTATTAAAAAGATTGAATTTAAAGGTCAATACGGAGGTAGTTCTGTTTAATTAACTGATGCTGTTGCTATGATTACCTCACTGACAGATGACCTATGACAGGTTTCTTTGAGGGATATTCATCTATTGATTCCCCTTTACCGAATACCAAAGATTTCAGATGTTATGTCACGAACCAGGGAAGATTTTACATAAGCCACTGCAAACGTAAAATTTCGAAATCAGTTACAATGGGTTTTGATCGGCTTACCCTCGGGACTGAACACTTCGAGAGTTTTCGAACGCAAGCCATTCCCATTAGGATTTGAGCCAAACACATCAGCGGTAAACTTGGCGCACTTTGGAAGTGATGGAAAAAATATTTCTTTCTTGGAGGATGTAAGTTGGAGCGGTTTGCTCTTCGTTTCTACTGTAATGTGAAACCGCGTGACTGGACAGCTTGACGTATATTCCCATGAGAGACGAGTGTGCCCAAATGATTTTTCACCCAGCGTAACATTTGTCGGTGACGCTGGAACTAAAATATAATATGCAGTTTTTTAATCCATTAGTTTAACACAGATAACAAAAAACCTGTGCGGAAAACGATCACATGCATCCAGAAAATCACACTTATGGAAGGTAAAAAAAACCCGCAGAATGACGCGAATTTCGCCATGCGGTCATCGTTTTGTACTGTTTATATTGTCGGATTGTTTCCGTTCCTTGAGCTGACCACGCAAAACCATGTAGTATAAATGAAGACCGACTAAAACGCAGCTTAATCTTTTTTGTATGCAGATTTTGTCCTGTAGGTGAAGCGGAGAAGCAGTGTACAGCTGTTCCTTCCTTACTGGAATCATCGGCAGCTCGCATCACATGAAATTCCGAAGAGTATGGAACACGCGACCTCCTGACCAGTAGTTTTAACACTTAACCGTTCGACCACGCGTGGCTTGTCGGTAGTGTGGTTCACTGTACTCAGACAGGATATAGCGCCGCTCATCCTTCAATCACGGGGTCTACATTACGCGGTCACAAGGCTCCTTGAGCACATACTTCTCAGATGGAAGTTTCCTTCATCGGGTGAAATCTATTCTCCCACTGAGCTACTTATATATTGTTAGTAGTGTGAGATGATTTGGGATTTCGTGAAGATTTCGTCCTGTAAGTGAAGCCAATTTATGCTGAAAAGCCGAGAAGCACTGTACAGCTGTATGCTGGCGATACATCGCAGGTTCTAGACACTCCAGAGTTTCGTGAGATGCGCGCTGCTGACAATTCCCAATAAGGAGGAAACAACTGTACAGTGCTACTCGGCTTTTCACCGTAGATTCGCCTCACAGGATGTAGTCCCCACAAAAATATCCCAAACATCCCCTCACTACCAACAAAGCGTAGTCTTAACCACATTAGTGATATATGCCGGTTTTTCTGTGTTTCGTAAAGAAGCGTAATATACTACTCTCGGTTTATCGAAGTTTATCGCCCAGTAGGTCCTGAAATCCGAAAGCTGGGAGAAAGGAAGACTGAAAACCATAAGCAATGATGCTAACCGTTTATCGCATACCATAGTGGCAAGCCTCAAGGTAACCTTTGACCACACTGCAGAAAGCGCCGTTAAACACATGTAGTCTGGCGAAGGTCACCCAGTTTTTGGACCATGGACCTTTGCGAGGGCGTGTTTTGTACATATCAGGATTACAACCTATGCGAGGGCGTGTTTTGTACATATCAGGATACACGGTAGACCCTCTTTTGTCCGGCGGTATACCATATTTTTACAACAACGTTTTCTAACTGAAAGTATAAGCCAATTGTGCATTGATCTCCGGTTCCAATAAGTTACGGGATATGCTTGATATCTCGGGTTTATTAGGAATGCTCTCTGAAAAGGCTAAATGTTCATTTTTTCATTTTGGTAGCCACAAATTTTGAATTGCTTTGAAGCAGCAAGCCAACTAGAGTTTGTACATGAGTTACTGTTGAAACATTGAAATTTACTGGTATAATCCTAATTTTTCTAGCCACTTTGTCACGTCGCATTGTCCCATGACTATCTACAGATCATGGTCTTTTTACTTGCAGAAATCATACTAAACCACCAATAATACACAAAAGATTAAGGTTATCTGGTTAAAGCGTTGTGAAATAACCAAATAACTTTCAGTTTAGTGAAAGGATGCTAACTCAAAGAGCAGACGGAAACTAGTTGCAAAGTATCCCCGAAGCGACCGTAGCAAATTATGTCCCCCGGAGTTTCCGGTTGGTATAAGCCAATTACTGAAGATAATAGGCATCTTTCAGATGTGACGCTCCTCTGTCACACAGTTTGAACAATCCTGGCTGTCCGAGTCCAAATAGAAACAATCAAACTCCAGATTCTAGTAGAAAACATGGAAGTTTCGGGTTCCACGTTAAACCTGGCTCATCTGAAGCAATTTCTGGCTGACCATTCATGACGTACGGCAAAAAAGTGGCCGGTGAACTAAGAACATCCCAGATCGTCCGGGATGGAGTTTACAAGAATATATTTTCTGCACATTAAAAACAAGTGGGATCTGGCCAAACTAAATGCGTTCGTAAAAGAAAAAGTGACAGCCGGATGACCGCACCGAAATGGAGTTATTAAGTCAAATCCAATACAATCCTTACACTTGTCAGCTACGTTGACGACTTTTGGAAAAATTCGGACTTATAGAGTCAGGCGATATTTTCCCGCAAAAGCAAACGCTGGGCTACTTCATATAGTACTCGATTGCTTTGCACTGACTCTGAAAATTTACGAATCCCTATTTGGACTCAGCTTAGCAAACACCAAAATAGCAGCTGGATTCTATGACCTGCACTAGTGGGAGTTTGATCTGGACGAACAAAATGATTGATCAAGCTTGATGGTATAGCTCCCGTGCATCAGACAACCATGATATGTTGAAAACAGATGATGAGGGATGTACGGTGAACTCTTCTAATTAACCTAAGGCGGGTTCAATAGGTTCTCTTGTCGAGTTATCAAACTGATGTGTAGTCCCCTTACAAAAGGTGATTTCAAATGGTCATTTTTAGGTTGTATCTATGCTGACAAATGAGTGGTTATCGTGTTCTCATCTGGATCCTCAGTGTGCTTTATCTAGCTTTTTGTAGAATCCAGACAGATTTCCCTGGCTTACGCTCCCAAAGCTCATTTCGCTGAATTCGTCACCTTTTTGATTCTCCATTACTTTTCGTTTCTTTCTAGTCTATAGTCGCGTTATACTTTGCAAGTAAAGTTCAGAACACACCATGACTTTTCAAGGCTTGTCGGTTCAAAGCTGAAGAACGTGCATTTTTAAAGCTTCTGCTTCACTCATCATTCCGTTGTCCTAGAACAACTACTCTGGCACAGATACGAAGCTCGGCTGTATCAAAGTCCCTAGGTAGTGAAGTTCTTTGGCCAGGGTGAGGTGAATCGCGGATATCTAGCGGGCTGCAGGAGTGTGTTACCACAATCCCATCAGCCCAAAGCAGATGATTAATTAGATCTTTTCTTTCTCTCTAAGTAAAAAAATACAACTATTGTTAAAGTACAGAAGTAACTCGCTTTGATGTCCGAATTTGTTATTCAAATTATGGGAGACTTGAAAGGCAGTTGGATTTTAACGGAAAAAATATTTTATTCTTCCCCACAACCTCTCTACACCCCATTTGAAAATCCTTTTAAAGGGTGCATCATTAAGGTGCACTGCTCTGAAGACACATTTCTCAGAATATTTAAGTTGCTTAAAACCTCATTCGCAAAATGCAAAGTTCAAAATGTTCATCAGCTGTCCATCCCTGTTCCGACACAAACAATGTTTATCTTTTTGTGTTTAATTCCTTGTGGTTGATCTGCCTCAGATGTCAATTCGTTACCAGAATAGTAGACTTCTTTGATTTAGCTAACAGAAAAATTGAAGTGGTCCAGCCTACATGGTATAGTCTGCCGTGTATTTCTGCCGTTATGAATGAATGATAAACCGTGAAGCTCAGGGACCCTCAAGTGCTGACCTACAGTCAGCAAACACAAATCTTGAAAAAAAACGCCAATATCCTGAAGTGGATTTCTCGGCATACGGCAGTTGCTTTTTGTCATATCACCTCGCGACAGGCGGGCTATTATGTGGCGGGTATCTTGATGGAGGTAATTCTTTTGTTTTTTGTTATACGGGACAGCTGTTCCACCAGAGTTACTTCACTCACACTTAGTGATGTTTTGATAGCTTAGCCTTGGCCCATCTCATTTTGAAAAAAATTTTCGGGTATAAACTGGATTTTTGGCTGATTTTAGTAACATATTAGGCTGTGTACCATTAAGACACTTTTTATATATTAATTGCGAGTGTTATTCGGCAGGAGCTTCGTGCACACCATTGTGAACTTAGTAGGTATCTGGTGATGCTGATGTTTCCAGAAAAAGCGAAAAGGAATGGATGAGAACGCGTGTTATGTAGATGACTAAACCGTGAATGATAACAAACAGATTAGTCTTTGGGTAAAAAAATAGAAAAAATGCTTTTAGATGGCTCTTTTGGAAAATCGTATCACCGACCACTGCTAACTGTAAAGGTTGCAACAAAATGTGTCTTATCAAGAGTAGCAACGTGAGCCTTACACTTTCGCATTTAAAATTAAATATGGCGAGAGTATCTGAAGCTCATTTTATACTGAGTTGTCATTAAGTTCAAACACGAACCATACGTGTCATACTTACTACATTGACGTGCTAAACCAAAAGGAATAGTGGGATATTTAAATTCAGAAGGTAAGGTTATCAAACATGCGAAAAAACTGAGTCTCTAATTTTTCTAGCTGCAAAAACGTACTCATTGCATGAAATACGACGACTGGGATGTGAATTCTGCGTAAAGAGTTGCTTTTGAGCCTGACTGTGACAATTTAGCAAAGAAGCTTAAAAATGTTGGAGAAAAAGTTATCAAATTGTTACGTTACATTATATGCAGTAAAAACTAATCAAATCACAGTGTTCAAGTACCCCCGGGAAAGCCTCCCTCTCTCTGTCTTGTCTGCAGATCGTTATCTTTTTTCCAGGGGCACAAAATACCTAAAATAGACAAAAAATTTGAGTTTCCAAGGTACGTTGCACGTGCCACCCTATGCTTGCGTTGCGATAGGATAATCTTGACGGTTATTGGATTTACACATTTGAGAAATCAACTGACCTTGATTTTGGGCCTCTGAAACAAAGTATACCAACAACTGAGGTTAACGAATTTCAAAGTAAACTTTCTTTAAATGCAACCCGATTCGACAAAAACAACCGGTTTTTTATGCTGGATTTTCAGGCAGACAGATGAACAGTTTGGCGGCACCTGGTGGGCACAGCGTACAGAGAGAGATTGTTTATGGTATATTTTCGAATGCTTAACTGGCAGAGTACCTAAAATGGAAACGTGGTGGAACTGCTTTCAATTACCGTAACGAATGGTTACCCTAAGCTTGGAAATCTCGAGGCGATTGGACTTGGCTGTCAACAACTGGGTGCCATTTCACG